TGCTGCTGCTGCTGCTGCTGCTGCTGCTGCGCCCCTTCGCTTGGCTGCCGCTTTCGAAGCTGCTGCTCGCTGCCCTGCACATCTGCTGCAGAAGCATTTGCTGCTGCTGTTGCAGCTCCAGCATGAGCTCCCTTTGTCTGCTGCTGCAACTCCCACTCCTCCCAAGAACAAGCAGCTGCTGCAGGAGCAGCAGCAGCAGCAGCAACCGGCTCTTGAACCAGAGGCGGTGGAGACCCCCGTCTAAAAACCCTCGGCCTTGTTGCTGGCCACACGCCTGCTTCTGCTGCTGCAGCAAAAACAGCTGCTGCTGCTCTTTGGCCTCTCGTACGGTGCCAGTCGGACGGGTTGCTGCTGGCAGCAGCAGCAGCAGCAGCAGCAGCTGCTGCTGCTGCTGCCGAAGATGCAACGGATACCCCCTTAATAGCTGCGTCGAGGAATGAACTCCAAGAAGGAGGTGCAGCAGGAACGCTGCCCAGCAGCAAGCTCTGCAGTAGAGGTTGCTTCCCTTGCTCCCGCTCTTGCTGCTGCTGCTCTTGCTGCTGCTGACCTTGCTGCTGTTCCCCTTGCCGGTGCTGCTCTTGCTGCTGCTGCTCTCGCTGCTGCTGCTCTCGCTGCCACTGCCACTGCTGCTGCTGCTGCTGCTCTTGCAGATGTTGCCCTTGCAGCTGCTGCTCCTGCTGCGGCTGCTCTTGCTGCTGCCGCTGCTGCTGCTGCTCCCGAGACTGCGTTTGCTGCTGTGGGAGAAGCTGCTCACGCTGCCCGTGCACCGCCACACCTACTGTGTCGCATATTTGCTGCTGCAGCTGTGGCACTTGAGGTGTCTGCTGCTGCCTCTCCCGCTGCTGCTGCTGCTGTTCCTCATGACGCTGCAGCTGCACTCCGGATGCTGCGCCTAATGTCGCCGCAGCAACTACCTGTTGCTGCTGCCGCTGCAGCAGCTTGAGCCCTGCCTCGCCAGGCTGCTCCTGTGGCTGCTGCGTCGTCTGCTGCTGTTGCTGCTGCACTTGCAGCTGCGATTCTTGCGGCTCTTTTGGCTGCTGCGGTTCGTTTTGCTGCAGCGCCTGCCGTTGCTCCTGCTTCTGCAGCAGCACGTGCTGCTGCTGCTGCTGCTGCTGGCTAGCTGTGTGCCTATCAACGAGGAAATGGAAGGGCCCGCGAGCACCGGCATTGCTGCTGCTGTTGCTGCTTCTGCTGCAGGGCCCGCTAACTACTGATGGCTTTAGAGGATCTTGTTGCAGTCTTTGCTGCAGTTGCGGTGCCAGCTGCAGCAACGAACGCTCTGGCTGCACTTTCTGCTGCTGCTGCTGCTCCTCCTGAGCGTGGCTTCCTGCAGCTAGCCGCTGCATATGTGCCCTGTGCTGCTGGATCTGCTGCACCTGCTGTTCTAATCCACTGGGAGTTACTTGCTGCTGCAGCTGCTCTCGCTGCTGCTGCTGCTGCTGCTGCTGTTGCTGCTGCTGCAGGCCTGCTGCAGCCTCAGGCGGGCTTGCTGTCCCCCAGGATATGACAAAGCTTTCATCTACCACGTTTTCTGCTGCTGCTGCTGCTGCTGCTGCATCTTTCTGTTGGAAAGCAGCAACATCAAACCCAGACCGACCTTGCGCTGCAGCACCACGCAGCTGCTGCTGCGCCTGCTGCAGCAGCCCCGCAGCTGCGCCTATGAACCCTTCGTGCTGCTGCTGCTGCTGCTGCTGCTGCAGCTCATCTGCTGCAGACGGAAGTTCCACGTCGACGTCTACGTTGGAAGGCGGCAAGCGGCTGCTGCTGCTGCTGCTGCTGTTCCACAGCGGCAACAGCTGCAGCAGCCCCCTTCCAGTACTCCCTTTGGACTTTCTAGTTTGGAAACTGCTGGAGCTGCTGCTGCAGCTGGTTGTGCTGCCTGGTTTGTTGCTGCTGTTGCTGATGCCTGTTGCGTTGCTGCTGATGCTGCGCGTCTCACTGGGGGACCTCGAAGTAGCAGCAGCAGACAAAGGTGCTGCTGCTGCTGGTGCGCCTGACGCAGCAGCAGCAGCAGCTTGCAGAGGCACGGCTTGCGGCTCTACTCGCTGCAGCATAGCAGCAGCAGCATTTCCTGCTGCTGCTGCTTCTGCTGCTACTGCTGCTGTTGCTGCTGCAGGGTCTGCTGGCTCCAGGCCTGAAAATGTCTCACCCCACCCTGGCAGCGGCAGGATTATGGCGTTGCTGCGACGGCTGCAGCTGCTGCTGCTGCCGCTCGCACCTGCTGCTGCTGCTGCTGCTAAATTTGCTGCTGCTGGAGCCGCAGGAGGGGTGTTACTCCCAGAGATAAGAAGAGCGTTAGGAGAAGGAAAAGAAGAACTCTCGAGCCAGTGCCGTTGCTGCTGCTGTTGCTGCTGCTGCTGAAGTTGCTGCTGCTCCTTCAGAAACTGCTGCTGCTGTAACTGATGAGCTTCGTGACTGTTTCCAGCAGCATCTACTGCTTGAGCTGCTGTGATGTTGCAGGGTCTGCCGCTGCTACTGCTGCTGCTGCTGCCGCCGCTGCTGCTGCTGCTGCTGCTGCTGCTGCTGCTGCTGCCGCTGCTACTGCTGCTGCTGCTGTTGCTGCTGCTGTCATCATCGGACATTTCCTCTTCAAACGAAAAGAAAAATGAACGTAAGTTCGACTCAAGGGCTTGCTGCTGCCTGGCTTCGTATTCGAGCTGCTGCTGCTGCTGCTGCTGCTGCAGTTGCAGCTGCCGTTCTTGCTCCTGACGCATTCGCTCTTCAGCTTCTGCTTGCTGCTGCAGCTGCAGCTGCTCCTCTTCCAGGCGCGCCAGCAGCTCGCGCTGCTGCTGCGCGAAACGCTGCAGCAGCTGCTGCTGCTTGCGCGGATTGTTCCCAAAGGAAGGCTGACATTGCAGCAGTTCCTGAAGCTGCTGCTGTTGCTGCAGCAGCAGCGCATGCAACTGTTCTGGCTGCTGCTGCTGCTGCTGCAAACCCCCGCAACCACTATCGGGCGCTTGCTGCTGCTGCGGTTGCAGCTGCCACGTTGCTGCTGCTTCAAATTCTGTGTCATCTTCTACTGTCGCTGAAGTGCTGCATCTCCTGGAGGCAGCAGCTGAGGCTGGCCTCCCTGTTGCTGCGGCAGCAGCAGCAGGACAAACAGCAACCTCTGGCTGCGCTTGTGCTGCAGCAGCAGCTTGTGCTGCAACTGCTGCGGCTGCGAGGCTTGCTGCGTCTCTAACTGCTGACAGACTCTCCGGCGCTGCTGCTGGGGCTCTTGCAGCTGCTGCTGCTCCGTTTGGGGATGCTGCTGCATCTGCTGCTGCTCCCTCTGAGCCACCTAGTTGCTCCCTACTTGCGTCACCTGCTGCTGCTGCTGCTGCTTGTGTTGTCGCTGGTGTTGCTGCTGGCGGAGCAGCGGAAACGTCTTCCTCTAATGAATCTTCCAGTTCGGACCACGAGAAGTCGCTGCTATCAGCAGCAGCAGCAGCAGCAGCAGCAGCACTTGCTGCTGCTGGCGCTGCTCTGTTCCGCGTCGCAGCGGGCTGGAGTGCATGCGCTGCTCTTGCTGCTGCTGCTGCCCTTGCTGCATGCGTCGCCTCGTATGCAGCTCCTGCTGCTGCTGCTCTGGCGTTTGCGCGCGCAGCAGCATCTGCAGCAGCAGTCGCCGCAGCAGCAAGCGTTGTCGTGCTCACTGCAACGGGAGCAGCTGCAGCAGCAGCCGCAGCAGCAGCAGCAAGAGCAGCAGCAGTTAGTCCCTCCCCAGCCACGCCGCTGCCGTGCTGCTGCAGCAGCTGATGTGCTTCTTCTTCTTCTTGTCGGTACTGCTGCTGCTGCTGCCGCTGCTCCTGCTGTATGCGCAGCAGCTGCTCCTGCTGCTGCCGAGCCAACTCCTCGTGCTGCTGCAGCATCTGCTGCTCCTGCCGCTGCTGCTGCTGCTGTTGCTGCCGCCGCCTTCCAGCAAATATGCTGCTAAATAAAGCAGCAGCATGCAAGGGGTCGCTGCGAAACCCCACAGAACTGCCTGTACACCTCAACTCCGAGTCTGGGCAGCACTGCTGCTGCAAATGCTGCTGCAGTGGCTGCTGCTGCAGCGGCTGCTGCTGCAGCTGCTGCTGCCACCCTGCTGCAGTGAACAGGAACTGTTTTAAGAGCTTCAACAGCTGCACAAGTGGCGGCATGGACTCATATGGGTCGCATATCCTACCATGGTTGCTGCTGCTGTTGCTGCGGCTGCTGCTGCTGCTGCTGCTGCTAACTGCTGCCCAGGACGGTAATGGGACGAATTCTTCAAGGCTGCAAATACGGCCGTCCCCTGTTTTGCTACAGTTGTTGCTGCTGCCGTTTGTGATGCTGTTGTTCTTGCTGCTGCTGCTGCTGTTGCTCCTGCTGCTGCTGCAGAAGATGCGCACACCAGAAAGTCGCCTAAATGCAATCGCTGGACGCGTCTTACCGCAGCCGTTGCTGCTGCTGTTGCTGCTGCTGCTGTTGCTGCTGCTGCTTCTGCTGCTGCTCCTGGTTGTTCCGCGACAGATGCTAATGCATATGCCTTCAAGAGACTCCAACACATTAGCGCTGCTCCTGCGGCCGCTCTCGCTGCTGCTGCTGCTGCTGCTGCTGCTGTCGCTGCCGCTGCTGCAGCTGCTGCTGCCGCCGACAGCTGACCCGAAGAACACGCAGGACCCACAAGCAATCACAAGGGGACCCGGAAATCTGCAGCAGCAACAGCAGCAATCACAATGAAACAACAGCAGCAGCACCATCGCAGACGCAGCAGCAGCAGCAGCAGCAGCAGTAGCAGCAGTAGAGCCAGAAGCAGCGGCAAGAGCAGGCACAGAGACCAACTGCAGCAAGCAAAGGCCACAGCAACGTGAGCAGCAGCGCCGGCAACAGCAGCAACGGGACAACAGCAGCGAGAGTAGCCAGCATAGCCTTAACAGCACAAGCAGCAGCAGCAGCAACAGCAGCAGCAGCAGCAGCAACAGAGGCAGGCTAACTAACTCACATTTGTCCCTTTGAAAACCGCCCCAGAACGAAGGATGCGGAAGATCCCGAGCAGCAGCAGCAGCAGGTGGTGCTGCTGCTGCTGCTGCTGCTGCTGGGCTGCAGCAGCAAACCCAGCTGCACGCCCCAGCCATCCTGGCAGTCTTCCCTCCACGAGCCGCCACGAAGCAGCAACCGCCCTGCTGCATTCTGAAGCTGCTGCTGCTGCTCATGTTGCTGCTGCTCTTGCTGCTGCTGCTGCTGCACGTCCATTCCCAAACCGCAGCGCAACCCTGCAGACCATTCGCCGCCAAACGCATGCAGCAGCTGCTGCTGCTGCTTCTTCTGCTGCTCCTCATTCCTGCTGCTAACGCAGACCTCAGGTCCCGCTGCAGAAGCTGCTGCTGCTGCTGTCTCAACTATAGCTGCCACACCTGCAGCAACGCAATCGCCGCAGCAGCTGCTGCTGCTGCTGCAGCTGCTGCTGTTGCTGCTGCTAAAACGGCGCGCAGAGGCACTCAACCCATCGTCTCCATCTCCTTCGCAGCTGCTGCTGCTGCTGCTGAAGCTGCTGCTGCGTCTGCTGCTGCTGCTTCCGCAGCTGCTCCCGCCTCTGACATCGGTGCTATCGCTCCAAGCAGCATTTGTGCTGCTGTTGCTGTCGCTGTTGCTGCTGCTGCTGCTGCTGCTGTTGCCAATGCGGCGGCTGCAACGCTTTGAGCAATAATATCCTACGCCATTTCTAAGCAGCAGGCCTTGCTGCAGCTGCTGCTGCTCATCTGCCTGCAGCACAGGGGCCCCTGGCGCAGCAGCAGCAATAGCAGCAGCAGCAGCAATAGCAGCAGCCTCAGCAGCTCCTGCTTGGGGTGCTGCAGCAAGCTGCAGCAGCTCATCAGTGACCCAGCGAGGGAAGCCCTGAGCAGCCGCAGGGTCACTGCTGCTGCTGCTGCGGCTGCTGCAGCACTTGCTGCTGTTGCTGTGTTTGTTACTGTTGTTGCTGCTGCTGCTGCTAGAACTAGGATGCACAGAATCCAGCTGCTGCGGCAGCAGCAGCAAGCAGCCGCCGGTGTAGAAGCCCCCCAGGTCAAACTTCAGCTGGAGCGCATGCAGCAGCAGCAACAGCAGCAGCAGCAGCAGCAACAGCAGCAGCAATTAAACGGGACGCCCGGAACACCGGAATAGCAATTGAGACACCGGCAGCAGCAGAAAATTCGACTTCGCGGATGGATGCGACAGCAGCAGCAAATGGCACCATCAGCTGCAGAAACAGCAGCAGCTGCTGCTGCAGCAACCACTGCAGCAGCAGCAACGACAGCAGCAGCAACAGCGGAGGCAGCAGCAACACAGATGAGCTTACATGTGAGTGGCACCGCAGCAACTTAAAACCTCGGTCCTGGCAGCCACCTGTTCCGTTGCTGGAGTTGCAGCCACTGCTGCTGCTGCTGCTGCTGCTGCTGCTGCCCTCCAGCGCGGAAGAACTGGTCTCGGCAGCTGCCGAAGCAGCAGGAGCGTCTGCTGCGTCAGCAGCAGCACAATCGTTCACGCTGCTGCGGCTATCGGAGCAGCAGTTGCTGCTGCTGCTGCTGCTGGCTGCAGCAGGCCCCAGGTTCGCAGCTGCAGCAGGAGACCGTTTTCCTTTTTGGCGCCCTCTGCTGCTGCTCCCGCTGCTGCTGCATTGGCCGCTGCTGCCGTTGCATGTGTTGCTGCTGCTGCTGCTGCTCGCAAGCATGGATTTAGGTCGGGGCCGTCTCATTCTTGCTGCGCCGCTCGTACAGGCAGCAGCAGGAGCAGCAGCAGCAACACGGAGCAGCAGCAGCAGCAGCAGCAGCAGCCTTGCCAGGTTTACGCAGGATACCAGTGGCTTTTCCCACGTAGGAACCCTGCTGCTGCAGCTGCTGCTGCAGCAGCTGAAGTTGCTGCTCGGAATTATCTGTTGCCGTTCGGCTGCAGCCTTAGCATTGCTGCTGCTGTTGCTGCTGCTTCATCAGAAGAACGGCTGCAGCAGCTGCTGCACCAGGTGCAGCAGGTGTGCTGGAGAAGACTTCGTAAGTGTCCAGGGGAGGCGAAGCAGGTCAGCAGCGCGTAGTTGTGCTGCTGCTGCAGCTGTTGCGGCTGCTGTTGCTGCTGCTGCGGTTGCGACCGGCGGTGTGGCTGCAGCTTCAGCTCTATCCGCTATTTGCGCCTTTTCCGCAGCGGTTGTTGCTGCTGTCGTCGTCGTCGCTGCTGCTGCTGCTGCTGCTGCTGGTGGCGCAGCAGCAGCGGGAGTGTCGGTTCTGGGCGAAGCTGCGCCGAGCTGCGCAGCTCGTGAAGTTGGTGCTGCAGCAAAGCAATTGTTTGCTGCTGTTGTGTTATTATTTTGAATTTTATTTTATTTCAAATCAAATAAACTTCTTTTCGAGAAGTTTTCCCCGCAGCTTCCATCCCGCGGCTACAGCAGGGGCCCCCGGGGGCCCCCCGAGCCGCCACAGGGTCCTGGGTCTCGGCGTTGGGGGTGGAGTTCGTTTAAATTCCTTTTATTTTGAATTTATAAAAATAAAATTAAAAAATGCACTTAACTAAATAAAAATTAATTCAAATAATTTAATTTTGACCCCAGATCAGCCTGCCCTGGCGCCCGGGGGCCCCGCACTGCGCAGCAGCCCGTCGGAGAAGCAGCAGCAGAATCTATTCTGTGCCAAAAGGGCAAAATTAAGCAGCAAAACTCTGTTTAAATCTGCTGCTGCAGTTGCTGCTGCTGCTGCTGCTGCTGCTGCTGCTGCTGCTGCTCGCCGTCACTTTCTGTGAGCACCGGTGCTACAGCGGTGGCCGAGGTGGCCGTACACCTGACTTTTGTGCTTTTATTATTTTGTTTTTATTTTTATTTTTATTTTTATTTTATTTGTATTTTCAATTAAATAAAAACTTCGCAAAAAAGACATTAGAGGCCTTCTGATTTCGCAGGCGAAGTGTTTGTGGCTGTGGCTGGCAGCTAACTGCTGCAGACAAAGGAATACGCAAATAAAATATAAAACCATGAGATAAGTGGGTCTTTTAAATGCAAAAAATATTTAAAATTAAATGCATGCATTTAAAAGAGATTTGGGGCTTCAAAGCCTTCAAAAGATCTTTCTGGGGCACCAAAGATCCCGAAAAATTCTTCTAGAAAGGCATCTCAAGCGCAGCAGCGCAGCAGCGCAGCAGCACGAAGTCTGCATGCAGCTTCGCAGCAGCACGGAGACTCAGGCACGAGTTCCTTGTCTCTTCTGCGGCAGCAGCAGCTTGTCTGCAGCAGCAGCAGCAGCAGCAGCTGCTCTGCAGCAGCAGCAACAGCAGCTGTTCTGCATCTGCTGCTGCTCTTGAGAGCAACAGAAACTCACAAGCAGCAGTAGGGGCCTTCGTGCTGCTGCTGCTGCTGCTGCTTCGCAGCTGCCAGCTCGTTGCCCGCATTTAATATTTCTTTTGAATATAAATCAAACAGATTTAAATAAAGCTTTTCAAATCAATTCTTTTTATTTTTCATAACTATGTTCGGGACATTTGATTAAATCTTCGTTTTTGTTTTAATTTAAACAAAAAATAATTTGCATGCATTTGAATTTTAATTTATATCAAATGTTGCATGCAAGAAAAGTCGCAGAGCCATTTGGCCGTGGCTTTGCTGCCAGCCACAGGGCCACAATAAGAATAATAATAATAATAATAATAATAATAATAATAATAATAATAATAATAATAATAATAATAATAATAATAATAATAATAATAGTAATAATAATAGTAATAATAATAATAATAATAATGCCCCCAGGGGAAGAATAAAATGCAACTTTTGTGAGGAGTTGTCTAGAGAGCTGAGCTGTCGATACACCGCAGCAGGTTGGGTGGCAAAGACAAATTTGAAGTTTGCTGCAGAAAAAAAGGGAAAGCTTTAAAATTTGAAGTTGAAAAGCAATTAAGTTTGGAATTTAAAGAATAAATATCAAATATTCGAAGTTTAAAAGCAATTTAATTCCAAAGTTCGAACTTTCTGCAGAAGCTGAAGCAAACAGAAGTTCAGTTGTTTTCTTTTAATGTTTGTGAAATCTTTTTGCCTCTTTGCAGTTTCCTGGCAATTAATATAAACAAAACACATTAAAAGTATTTATTTATTCATTTTAAATCCAAAAGGGACAAAAGCTCAAAAAAAAATTCAAAAGATTTCCCAAAAATGCAGCACTCATGAAACAGCCAAGTTGAATTTGCTGCTGCCAACTTGTGGGGCTGCATGCAGTCAAGCGGCCTAAACGGAATTTCTTTTCAACAAAATATGTCAATTTTGATTTTAAACTTTTACATGTATATATATATATATATATACATGTAACATATATATATATATATATATATGTGTATATATACATGTAATATATATATACATATATATGCATGTAATGTTTATATATATATATATTACATAGAAATGCAATTGTATATACATGTATATGTATATGTATATATTCTATATAACGACATATAAACACATGTATATGCATGTATATATATATATATATGTATTCTACATATATACATATATATATATATACAATGTGTATACATGTATATGTATGCAAATATAAATAAATATATATTATATAATTATATATATTTATAAATGTATGCTATATATATATATCTATGTATATATATATATAACATACATTTATACGGGCTGTGCACTTGGCTGGAAAGCCTTCACACTTTTATATGCAATTAATTGGGTGTGTAAATACAGAAGAATTTAGTGTACGGGCAAATCTATAAATGGACAAGACATATAATTATATAAACATATATACATATATAAATATATATTATATAATATATATATATATATATGTATTATATATACATATATATATATTGGAAGGCTGCTGCAAAGATGCAAGGCTGCATGCATGCAGCAACTGGAGAGGAGTTTAGACAGCTTTGTATCGAGGGTTTAGGGTTTAGGGTTTAGGGTTTAGGGTTTAGGGTTTAGGGTTTGAAGTATTTTCTTTGCCGAGAACTCCTAGGGGCAGCACAGGCCCCTCAGCCTAAATTAATTGAGTAACTCTGAAGATAATAAATCAAATAAATTAATTAATTAATTAATAAGAAATAAATAAATAAAAATAATTCTGTGTCGGGAGGGATTCGCAGCAGCAGCAGTAGCAGCAGCAGCAGCAGCAGCAGCAGCAGCAGCACGGGTGTATCACCACTGCGATAGCAACGCAGCAGCAAACTGCTTCTGCTGCGCACAGCGCTGCAGCAAATCGAAAGAAACGAAACTAAAAGCAAATAATAAAATAAATAAATAAATAACTTAAATAAATAAAGTAAAAAGAGAGTTTTCTGAGTCAAAAAGTATGTCCCGAGCTAGCTTGCTGCAGCGGTCGGAGCAGCTGCTGCTGCTGCTGCTGGTCGCCAACTGCTGGGCAGCTGGGATTTGGGAATTTAATTACATAAATAGAATTTAAAAATGAGTTAAAATGAATTAATTTAATTTATTTAACATTAAAAAAATTGTTTTTCTTTCAGGAGTCTTTCAATACTTCATTCAGGGGGGTGTGCAGCAGACCAACGACGACAGCGCCGCTGCTGATGCTGCTGCTGCTGCTGCTGCTGTCTGTCTCTGCTGTTCTGTCTCTTCTCTCGCTGGAAGAAACAGAAGTCGATTCAAGTCGAAGTTTTGAAGTGTACATACACCCCAGTTGCAGGGCGCTCTACACTCGACGCGCTGCTGCTGCTCTCCTTTACGGTTCTGCTTCGTCCGGGGGGCCCCTCACCAGCAGCAGCAGCAGCAGCAGCAGCAGCAGCAGCGTTTGCTTCTATCTTCTACGGACTTCAGCAAAGACACTATGGAAAAGAGATTCGACGGCCAAGTTGCTGTCATTACAGGTCAGTTATGAGGGGCCCTTTTGCTGCTCTTCTAGCTGCTGCTGAGGGAGCCTCAGGTGTATCCGCAGCTCCTGCTGCTGCTGCAGCGGTTGCATGCATGCAGCAGCACGTCTTTAGCTGCAAAAGTCTGAGCGGCAGATTTAAGGCCTATTTGTCTCCCCGCCTCAGCAGCACACCAGGCCCATCTGCAGCAGCAGCAGCAGCAGCAGTGTCTTGGCCTATCTCTTTGTACCTGAAAGAAGTTAATTAGACCTCGAGGGCCAGAAGGAACTAGGGGAGAAGCAGCAGCCGCTGCTGCTGCTGCCGTTGCCGCTGCTGCTACCGCTGCTGCTGCCGCTGCTGCCGCCGCTGCTGCTGCTGCTGCTGCTGCTGCTGAGCTGCGCGGAGGCCTCTGCTGCTGCATGCAGGCGCTGGCGGCGGGCTCGGCCGCGCCTACGCGCTGGCCTTTGCAAAGAGGGGCGCGAAAGTTGTGGTGAACGACTTGGGGGTGGCACTGGCTGGGGATGCAGCAGCAGCAGCAGCAGCAGGTGAGAAGCGCGTTATTTGCGCGAACTGCGGGGCCAAACGCGGAATAAAATGTGAACAATTCATAAAAGTTTAAATATATTTTATAATAATTCATTTATTTCCACTGGTTGAAGCGGATCCGCGAAGTTTCCGGGCTGATCAGAAAACGTGAATTGTCAATTGAGGTGTACAGACACCTGAACAGAACACGCCACGGCGTTTTGTGCGGCTTCATGGAAGGGAATTTTATGCTTTTTTGATTGTTTTGAAGCGGAAAACAACATTATTTACTATTTTAATGCCTTTTTGGATCATTTTTGAAAGTTTATTTGCAATTCGATCACGAAGAGGCTTGGTTTCGCGTTTGAATTCCGTTTTTGCAATTCCAGTTTCTCACAAACTTCCACTCCTCAATTTTCAACAATTTCTTTATTCGAAAGCTTTTAAGAACCTCAGCAGCTATTTCTTTCCAGACCATTATGCCTCGGACTTTTATTTTGTTTTATTTCTTTCATTTTTCTGAAGTTCAAATTTGCAAATCTTTTCTGTTTCACCTGCATTTGTTTTCTTGAGGAGCCTCATGAGCCTTCTGAATCTTTCAAGAATATCTTGTTCAAAATGAAATTTTTATTTTTATGTTAATTGAATTTGCAATTCGGACTAAAAGGCCGGACTTTCCTAAGAGGCCTTTATGCATCGCGGGGGCCTCCAGCTGCTGCTGCAGCAGCTTCACTGCAGCAGCTGCTGCAGCGCCTTCTCTGCAGCAGCTGCTGCAGCGCCGTTGCTCTAGCAGCTGCTGCAGCTGCTTTTCTGCAGCTGCCCGTGCACCATCAGCTGCGGCGCCTTTGCCTCAGCAGCTGCTGCAGCAGCTTCGCCGCAGCAACAGCAGCAGCAGCAGCAGCAGCAGCAGCAGTGGGTGTGTGCAGGCAGCCGCCCCGCGGACTTGGTGGTGGCGGAGATCCGGCGCGGGGGCGGCGAGGCCGTGGCGAACTACGAAGACGTGGGGGAGGGCTGGAAAATAGTAGCAGCAGCAATTAAGACTTTTGGAAGAATTGACATTTTAATCAACAATGCGGGAATCCTCAGAGACGCTTCCTTCGCCAAAATGACCGAACAGGACTGGGACAGAGTCATGCACGTCCGCAGACACAGCCCCTGCTGCTGCTGCTGCTGTGCTGCTGCTGCTGCTGCTGCTGCTGTTGCTGCTGCTGATGGGTGGGGCTTGTGCTTTTTGTGGCTGCTGCTTCAAGTGGTAGTTTTGCTCCAATAAATTGGCCGTGGAGACTTGTTATTTATTTTGTTTTTCGTTCTTCAAACTTCACCAAAAAGTGCATTTTTGCTGCTGCTTCTGCTGCACTGCCACAGCGTTTTCGCAGAAAGAAGTGCGAAGCTGCAGTGGAGTGACCAGTGGTCCACTGGGAGTCAACTGGCCAATTAAAAGGCCACGTGTGAGTTTTAGTTTGCTTTTTATTTGCATGTTTTGCTGCTGCTCAGGTGCACCTGAAGGGGGCCTTTGCATGCACGAAGGCCGCGTGGCCGCACATGGTGCAGCAGAAGTACGGGCGCATTATAAACACGGCCAGCGCGTCGGGACTTTACGGCAACTTTGGACAGGTGGGGTTGTTGTTATTTGTCTTTCGGGTTTATTTGTCTTTTGGGTCTTTTGGGGAGTCAAAAGATCTTTAAATCACTTCAAATGGACTTAATTCAAGAAAGATCTGCGGAAACGCGAGCTGTAGATACACCCGGCGCCGCCCGCTGCAGAAAGCGAAAGCTGCACAGAAAACGCCCCAAAAGCTGGTTTAAATTGCCAAATAGTTTAATTAAATTAATTTATTTATTATTTTTGAGTTTTGTTTCCTTTGATTCGCCACTTTTTGCATGCAGACCAACTACAGCGCTGCAAAGATGGCGCTGGTGGGCATGTGCAAGACTCTCGCGGCTGAGGGCCAAAAGTATAACATTAAAGTCAACTGTGTGGCTCCTTTGGCGGGTTCGTTGGGCCAAATGGTGCATTAAAGTTTAAATTAATTTAATTAATTTAATTTAATTAATTAATTAAGTAATTAATCAGTTTAGTTAAATAATCTCTCCAAAATCTGGAGCTAAATGCCATTTTTCGGGAGTGCTCAGCTAGTCAGGAGGCTTCAGGGGCTCTTGATTAGTTCATATTCTTAAATTATTTTCATGTAATTAATTTATTTGAAATTTGGGGAATTAAGATTTTAATTTAATTATTTATTTGAAAGGCCTTTGGGCTCTTTAGCTTTGTTTGCTGGCGGCGGCTGCATTTCTGTTGCTGCTGCTGCGGCTGCGGCTGCATTTCTGCTACTGCTGCTGCTGCTGCGGCTGCACTTCTGCTACTGCTGCTGCTGCTGCTGCTGCGCGCACTTTTGCTGCTGCTGTGTCTTTCTTTCGGCTTTGGGGGCCCTTGACAATAAATAGAAAAGCAGCAAAATCTGTACTGTTAAAGTACTGAGTGCTGCCACTTGAGCTGCTGCTGCTGCTGCAGCAGCAGATTAATGCCTTGGAAATGCACGTAATAATATAATTTGCATCTATATATTTACATATTGTTGCATATATTTATGCATGCATATATATATATATTATTTATTTTATATATTTATATTTTAATATATGAATTTATTTTGCTGCAGCAGACACATAAGCACAGGCAGCAGCAGCAGCAGCGAGGTGTAGGTGCTCTGCAGCAAATGCTTTTTCGCTCATTTCTCGACCATTTTTTGCGCTTTTTTTTCGTTTTATGGATTTAATTGCTGCTTTTTTATTAATTGTTGTTTATTGATTAATTAATTGCTGCTTTTTGTCTTGTTTTTGCTGCTTTTCGCTGCCAAATCCGCCAGGAACGCGCATGACTGCGGGGGTGCTGCCCCCCCAAATTCGAGAAGCCCTCAAGCCCGAGTGCGTGGCTCCTGTGGTGCTTTACTTGAGTTCGAAGGAGTGCAATGAAACCGGACAAGTGAGTTGAAGAATGAATTTAAATTTGATTTAATTTATTTAATTTAATTGAAATAATTTAAATTAATTCATTCAAATGAATTCATTCAAGTGCAATTCATGTTTCCCAACTTTCCCACTTAGACGCGAAATTTCCCCGATTTCAAGTTTCCCGAAAGTTGAATTCGTGATTATCTGATAAATCCCGCAATTCAATTTTAATAATTCTTTTTTTTCTTTTTTGAAATATTATTGAATGCATGCATTTAAAAGAATTAAAATGGGAAATCCCAGAATATTAAAGGGAAGTTTTTGAAAAGCCATTAGCTGGCTTTTGCAAATGCAGAAATGCATGCAAAGCGATCTGCGAGCCCCCGCCTGCAGCTCCAGCCCATTTGCTGCATTTTGAATTTAATTTCATTTAATTTCAAAATTAATTTATTTATTTTTAATTCGAACTTTAAAACATGTTTCTGCAAATGTAGCCGAGAAACGCGACTTTCGAGGATGAAAGTGCGAAAAGCTGCTTTCAAAATATACTTTTACGCACTTTTTGAACCCCATTTGGATTTGCTGCTGCTGCTCTTGCTGCTGCTGCTGCTGCTGCTGCTGCTGCGCAGGTGTTCGAGGTGGGGGCGGGCTGGGTTGCTGCAGTGCGGTGGCAGCGGAGTCAAGGAAAGACATTTCCTTCGAGTTTCACTTTGGAGGACTTGAGCAAAGAATGGAAAACTGTTTTGGATTTCAAAGACAAAGTTTCTTACCCAAGCTCTCTCCAGGACTCCCTCATTATGGTGGGACTCACGAGCTGCTGCTGCTGCAGCTTCTCCCTGCTGCTGCTGCTGCTGCTGCTGCTGTTGCTGCTGCTCTCGTCTGCCGCTGCGTTCGTTTGCTGCTGCTTTCGTCTGCTGCTGCGTTTGTTTTCTGCTTCTTTCGTTTCCTGCTGGTTTCGTTTGCTGCTGCTTTCGTTTGCTGCTGCTGCTGCTGCCGTGATTTGCGGCTGTTAGTATTTGCAGCTGCTCTCTTTTGCATCTGCTTCCGTTTGTTGCTGGTTTCGTCTGTTGCTGCTCTTTGTGCTGGTGTTTTCGTTTGCTGCTGCTTTCCCTTGCTGCTGATTTCATTTGCTGCCGCTTCCTTTTGCTGCTGGTTTCATTTGCTGCTGGTTTCATTTGCTGCTGGTTTCATTTGCTGCTGGTTTTTCTGCTGCTTTCTTCGGCTGCCGCTTTCTTTTGCTTCTGCTTTCTTTTGCTGCTGCTTTCTTTTGCTGCTGCTTCATAGTTAAATGCGCAGCCGGGCCATTCTGAATCCTCAGGAATGACTTGCTGTTGCATTGCATTGACAAAGGCAAACATGCAAGAAGTTGTATTTGTTTCTGTGTTTTTGTTTTTGTTTTATTTCTTTTATTTAATTATTTATTTTAATTTCCTTTTGCTGCTTCTCTGCGTCTTCAGGCGTCGCAGCAAATAGTGTCGGAAGGAAAGGCTGCTGCTTCCGGCGAAGAAGGCGCAGCAGCGCCTGCTCCTGCTGCTGCTGCTGCTGCAGGCAGCTGCTCGAAAGCCGAAAAGATCTTCAAAATGCTTGCTGCTTACTTGGAACTTGACAAAGAAAAGACGCAGCAGCTAAAGACAAAAGTTAACAGCTGCTTCCTCTTCGAAATTGCTGCTAAGCAGCAGCAGCAGCCCGTGCTGCAGTGGACCATTGACCTGCGCCAAGACGGAGGTTTGTCTTTTAATTCTTTTTGCTTTTATTCTTTTATAATTATTTTTTTAAATCATTATTCTTTTGTTCCTTTTTAATTGTACTTCAAATTAAAATTCCGAAAAAACGAAACATGTCAAGCAGCTAAACTTTGAAACCCTCGAACCAATGCTGAATTAAATAGAGCTGCTCAGTTGAGTGCATTTGCTTCTCTCTAAACCCTAAACCCTAAACCCTAAACCCTAAACCCTAAGCCCATTTGGTCTTTTTGGTTTTCCTGGGCATTTGGGAGATTGAAGATGCGACGCTGCGGCGTCGCTGCAGCGCAGAACAGCAGCAGCAGCAGCAGCAGCAGCAGCAGCAGCAGCAGCAGCAAGTACTTGGTTGCCCCCCTTTGTGTGAACAATGCCGAACACGTGAACTCGAGTTGAATGTCCAAATGCACTGCTGTGCTTTCCCCGCTGCTGCTGCCGCTGCCGCTGCTGCTGCTGCTGCTGCTGCTGCTGCTGCTGCAGAGGGCTGCGCGAAGGCGGGCGTGTGGGGCGCAGCGGACGCGACGTTTGCCGTGGGAGAAGAGGCGTTTTGCAGGATTTGTTTGGGAGAATTAAATCCCCAAGTTGCGTTTTTGCAAGGAAAGATGAAAATAAAAGGCAGCATGGCAGCAGCAGCAAAGTTCACTCCCCAGCTCTTCCCCCCCATTTCCCCCGCGCTGCTTTCCCTGGAAGCCGCGGAGGCCGTGCGCCAGTTCCTCAGCAGCAGCAGCAGCAGCAGCAGCAGCAGCAGCAAGCCCGCTGCTGCTGCTGCTGCTGCACCTGCTGCTGCTGCTGCTGCGGGGGGCCACACTCTCAGCCAAAAAGCTGCGAAGCTGCAAAGCGCAAAACTCTTTCCTTTTCTTATGGACCATCTCAAGTCCCCCGCAGGCGCCAATCTCGTCAAACAGGTAATTTTAATTTTAATTTTAATTTTAATTTTGATTTTAATTTTGATTTTAACTTTTTATTCTTTTGGTTTAATTCAAAATATAATGGAAAATCAATTGACGAGGTGTTCAGGCTTGTTCACGTGCGTCTTTGGCTTTCTAGAGAGCCATATATATATTTATATTTATATTTATATTTTTATTTATATTTATATTTATATATTTTTATGTTTTTCTGTTTATATATTTATATATTTTTGTATTTATATATTTTTATATATATTTACATTTATATTTATATTTATATATATATTTATATCTATATTTATATTCATATATTTATATATTTATATACTTGTATATGTATATATTTATGTATATACATATATATGTATATACTTTAATTTGCATGTAAATTCTAATTTTTATATATTTATATATTTATATATATGTAAAGTGGACACTTCTATACATATATATGCATTCATAAACAAATATATCTATCTGTACAATACTTAAATATGGATATATAAACATAATAAACAAATAAATAAATAAAATTAAATAAAATTAATTGATTAACTAATTAATTAATTGATAATAATAAATATATAAATGTATGCATCTGTATGTTTATATATTTTCATTTGTGTGGATGCAAGTTAAAGCCCACATGACGCATATATTTATTTGTACAATACATATATTTATACATTTACATATTTATATATTTATATATTTGTATATTTATTTATATATTTGTAGATATAGATATATATATGTATTTATACATACATATATATAAATATAAATAAACATATATATATAATTGTATATATATATATTTATATATATTTATATTTTTTGTGATTTTGCACTTTTGCATTCCTCAGCAGATACAAAATAGTATTACATCTCTTTGGCTCTCCACTTCCGCATATAATATATATAAACAGCTCTGTATATAAATGTATATATAAATATAAATATAAATATTATGTAAGTACAAATATAAACATAAAAATATATATTCAGATAATGGATATATAAAGAGGTAGCTACTTCTTAAAACGTTTCTGGCTGTGTATTCCCTGCAAAAGCATGCACATACATCTATATGAATGCATGCACGTAAGCAGCCCCCCACAGCAGCAGCAGCAGCAGCAGCAGCAGCAGCAGCAGCGGGCGCGTGGGGCGTGCAGGTGGGGTGTATCTACCGCGTGGACCTGCTGCCGAGCACAGGGGAAGGGCCCACTTGCACTTTTTATATAAATCTGAAGCAGCAGCCGCCGCGGGTGTGGGAGAGCAGCAGCAGCAGCAGCGAGCCCTACGACTGCTGCTTCACTCTCAAAGACGAAGTTTTTTTCAAACTTGCAACTGGACAACTCAACCCCCAAATGGCGTTTCTCCAGGGCAAAATGAAGATCAAAGGCAGCACCAAAGCTGCCATGAAGTTCACCAGAGACATGTTCCCCAAGATCTCCAAACTCTAGCCCCGAAAACGGGCGCAAACGCCTTCCTGCTGCTGCTGCTGCAGCTGCTGCTGCTGCTGCAGCAGCACCACGCAGTGCAGCGGGCTTTCTCGCGCGTCCTTGCATGCGAAAGTATGCTTATTTATGTTTATACTTATGTTTGTATTTATAATTATATAAATATTAATTTATATCTATACTTGTATTTGTACTTGGATGCATGCAGCGGGGGTTTTGCTTCCTGTACTGTGTATGCAGACACCGCGTGCCCATGTACCGCTGCACACGCTGCATCCACTTAGCTGTTTTTGTTTAAATTTGCAAAAAAGTGCAAATAAGTGAAAATAAATGAAAATAAATGCAAATTAATGCAAATAAGTGCAAAAATTGCAATTTATATATGTATGTATTGTGCTTGTGCAAACATTTGCACAGCAGTTGCGGTGTACAGACACAGCAAGCATTCCTGCCTCCGTGTTCCGGGGTGTACGTACACCTGGCTTTTAGAGGCTTTTCTTCCGTGTTAGAATTTGCATGCAAAGCACCTGCAGCAGCTGGCGCTCTTCGCTGCTGCTGCTGCTGCTGCTGCGCTCCTGCAACTGCAGCAAAAGAACTGCTTATTTGAATTTCTCCGCTAGTGCTATGCAGCTAAGCAACGCGGGCCCCTGCAGCAGCCTCCTCTCCACGCAGCAGCAGCAGCAGTAGCGGCAGCAGCAACAGTAGCAGTAGCTGCAGCAGCAGCAGCTGACTTCAATTGTATCTTAACGACTTTGCAGCAAATCTTAGCCTCCCTTCTACCGCCTAAAACCGAGCAGTTGCGTCAGTTGGCAGCAAAACAACCACGTCTGCTGCTGCAGCAGTTGCTGCTGCTGCTGCAGCAGTCGCCGCTGCTGCCGCGCGGACAGCAGCCAGCAACCCAGCAGCAGCACAGAGCACGCGAGTGCTTGTGCTGTTTTTAATTATTTATTTATTTATTTGTTTATATTTATTCATTATTATTTACTTATAATTCTTTATTTCTCTCTTTTTTATTCTTCCTTCTGCTTCAGCATGCCCTTCTTGCAGTAGCGCTGGTTGCGCAGGAACTTCGGGCACATCTGCAAAAAAAGAAAGAAAAAACAGCATTTAAATGCAAATAAACAAAGACATGCAAGCAGCAGCAGCAGCTGCTGCTGCTGCTGCTGTTTGCATGCATTTGCTGCTTCATTTGCTGCTGCGCATGCAGCAGGGGCCTCAGCCTGACGTGCAAAAGCAGCTTTCCCCAGCAGCTGTCGGGGCCACGCGTGGTGGGGCGCTTTTGTCTCATCCTGGTCCCTTTTTGCATTTAATTATTTAAATTATAATTAAAAACATGAATTAAAACATGTTAAAATTCAAAATGTCCAAAAAATTAAACTTTTGCTGCAGAAAACGACGCAGCCGCTGCTGCGCCACCACCGCCACTCCCGGGTGTATGCGCAGACACCCCAAGTGGCGGCTAGCCGCAACAGCAGCAGCAGCAGCAACAGCAGCAGCAGCAGCTAGCTTCTTTTTGCTGCTGCTGATGGGCCTCAACTTACCCCCTTGGTGGAGGTTTTTCTCCTCCGGGGAACCTTCTTGATCCCATTGCGGTGGGCCTTTCTGTTCTGCAGCAAAACACAGCAGCAGCAGCAGCAGCAGCAGTCACCGCCGGCCCCACAGCAAGTAGACCAGCAGTCCACTGGTCCACGGGCAAAGAAAGCAGCAGTTTGATGCTCGCCATACGCTGCTGCTGCTGCTGCTGCTGCTGCTGCCCCACTGTTTGCGAATGCAGCAGCAGCAGCAGCAGCTGCTGCTGCTGCTGCTCTCGCTAAAACTGCACTTCTTGCAAAGAAAAGCAAAGTAGGCTAAAGGATTATCTACTGCTTCCCGCGGGACATTTTGCTGCTGCTGCAGAGCAGCAGCAGCAAGGGCGGCCGCCCGCTTGCCTGGTTGTGGTTGGTGTGGTTCTTCGACTTGGCCATTTTCTTGCTGCTTGTTGTCGAAAGAACAAAAAAAAGAAATAATGAAATATAAATAAAGAAGTTTTAATTTAGAGCAGCAAGAAAAGGAAAGTCGCCAAACTAAGAGCTGCAGCAGCACTGACGGCTCCGGGGCTGTGGGGCAGCAGCCCCGAGAAGGGGCTGCAGCGCGGGGCCTTTCTTTTCTTTTATCTTTATTAAATATACGAATTGAAATTAAAACTAAATTTATTATTAATTTTATCCTTTTTATTCATATTGCATGCAAAAGCTGTTGCATGCTGCTGTTGCCGAGTGCCGCGCTGGCGGCCGAGGCGTACGTACACCCGAAACTGCGTACTGAAACCAGCAGACCAAAAAGCCAGAAGCCCCAATCACTCTAAAACTTTGAAATTATTTATTTAGCTGCAGCTAGCTGCAGTTTTAGAACTTTAAAAATGATCATTTAGCTGCAGCTAGCTGCGCTTTGAATCTGCTGCAGCTAAGCTGCTGCAGCTAGATAACAAGCTAGCTGCCGTTCAGCAGGCAGCACTAGCCCGAGCAGCGACAAGCGCAGCGGCAGCAGCAGCCGCTGCTGCTGCTGCTGCAGCAGAAGCAGCAGTCGCAGCACGAGCAAGAAGCACAGCAACAAGGGCAGCAACGAGGCGAGCTCCCGCCAGCAGCAACTTGCTGTTGCAGCAGCAACTTGCTGCTACAGTGGCCCGCAGCAGCTCGAAGGAAGCCACTCAAAGTGACCACCCGCAGCGCAGCAGTTGGACCAATGGTCCATTTGAATTCTTTTTATTTTCCCAAATTTGCCTTTTGCTGCTGTTGCGGCTTCTGCTGCTCCTTTATTAGCTCGAAAGGTTTTATTTTTTAATAAAATTCTCCGCATCTTTTGAATTAAATAATTTAATTGATTTAATTTTTTTTTCCCCTTTTGCTGCTGCCGCAGCCTCTTTACTAGCAGCTAGCAAAAGCCACTGCAGCGCAGCAGCAAGGAGCAGCACTTTGGGTCTTTCGCAGAAAATATTTTAAGTTTATTTTAAATGCCAAAATGCATTTAAAAGAATTTAAAAATGCATTTAGTTAAATGCAAAATGCGCAAAATTCTTTCACTTTCAGCCCAATGTCTATTTAGATCATTAAGCATATTTACATTTTTAATTTATTAATTTATTTACTTTTATGTGGAACAAACAAGTGAATTAATGTTTTTACATATTTATTTATTTATTTATTTATTTATTTAAAGACAATTAAGGCTGTTTGTGGACTGCCGAGAATTTGGGGTGTCTGTACGCGCAAAAAGACTTGCATTTAGATCTTCACTTCAAAATTTATATTTACATTTATTTATATTTATATTTATATTTATATTTGTACCTACATTTATTCATATTTATTTTTATATTTATTTATATTTATTTATATTTATTTACATTTTGCCCTGGAGAACACGCAGGGGCTAAAATTGTAGCAAAAGCTCAAATCTGTCGTCTGTTTTGCATTGTAAAATTAATTAAATTAATTTAAATTAATTAAACAAATTATGTAATTTAAATTAAAATAATTAAAATAATTAAAATGCAATTTAAATCAAAATAAAACAAATTAAAATGCCAAGAAAACCTAAAATTCGTTGGAGTACAAACAGCCGCTGCTGTCAATACACTGCAGTTCAAACAGCAACAAACGGCCCCATATGCAGCGTCTGCTGCAGCAGCTGCTGCACATGCTGCTGCTGCTGCAGCTGCAGAAGCTGCTGCTGGAGCTTCAGACGCTACTGCTGCAGCTGAAGAAGCTGCTGCTGCTCCTGCTGCTGCTGCTGCAACTGTAGCTCGTGTTGGTGCGGCTACTGCTGTGCTTGCTGCTGCAGCTACTGCAGCTGCAGGTGTTGCTAATGTCCCTGGCGCTGCGGCCGTTGCTAGTGCTGCTGCAGCTGCTGCTGTTGCTGCTGTTGCTGCAGTTGCTGCTACTGCTGCCTCAGCTGCCTCAGTTGTTGCTGCCTCGACTGCTGCTACTGCGCTTTTGCTGCTGCTGCTGCTGCTGCTGCGCGCGCTTTGTATCACCTCCAAAAATTCAATCTATTGAGTTAATCCTTTCTGTTTCTCCCTTTTATTTATTTATTTATTTATTTATTTATTTATTTATTTAAAAATTGTTTTTTACTTCACTTTAATTCGTTTGGCTTCTTCACTCGTCTTCTGAGGGTTCGATGGGATCTCCATTTTCGTCGCACTCAATCACCTCCTCCACCTGCAACACCCCCAAACCCTAAACCCTAAACCCTAAACCCTAAACCCTAAACCCTAGGCCCTGTGGAGCCAAACCCTGAAGACAGAAGCCCTGCTCAACGCCGCGCACCCCTAGGCCTCGCCGCTGCTGCCTGCGGGCCGCGGCTGTGCCCGCAGCTAGGGTTTAGGGTTTAGGGTTTAGGGTTTAGGGTTTGGCTCGCCTCGGGGTAGTAGTACTTGAGCATTTGCTCCATTCCTCTCTTCACCGTCACTGTCGAAGAGGGGCAGCCCTGGCAGCTGCCCAGCAGGTGTACGTACAGCGCGCCGCTCTCCGCGTCGAAGCGCAGCACTTCCACGTCGCCCCCGTCGCTCTGCAGCAGCAGCAGCAGCAGCAGCAGCAGCAGCAGCAGCAGCAGCGGGAGACTCCGTACACGCAGCAAAGGCAGCAGCAGCTGGGGGAGCACATGCTGTAGATGCAGCAAAGGCTGCGGATGCTGCAGCGGCAGTATTAGCAGCAGCAGCAGCAGCAGCACATGCTGTGGATGGCAGTTCCGGCGGCAGATGCAGCAGCAGTAGCAGCAGCAGCAGCAGACGCCGTGGATGGCTGTTCCCGCAACAGGTGCAGCAGCAGCTTGAACAGTAACAGCAAAAATGCTTTAAAACGCAGCCCGCTGGGCAGACAAACTGGATAAGCAGCAAAAGGCAAGCAGAAAGCAGCAGCAGCAGCAGCAGCAGTAGCAGCAGCAGCCAAAACGACAGGAGCGGCCAGAGCAGCAAATACCACAGCAGCGGCGGAAGTTACAGCAGCAAACGCAGCCCCGAAAGCAGCAGGTGCAGCAAATTGAAAAGCAGCTGCTGCATCTCAGGAAGCAGCAGCAGCGGTCAAAGCATCAGCAGCAGCAGCGCAGTCAAAGCATCAGCAGCAGCAGCAGCAGCAGCAGCAAAAACACCACCCCGAAGGCCCCAAGGCAATGCCATGAGAAGCAAAAAGGCAGCTTTAGAGAAGCAAAATGATAAATGCAACAGAAGAAAAAGAAGCAGCAGCAAAAAAGATAAATGCAGAAAAAGAAAACAAAAAAGCAGCAGCAAACCTGCAGCATGGGCTTGACTCTGTGGTTTATTGTCTCTTTGATGGACTCGAAGAGTTCGGCCTCTTCTTCACTTAGGGGCGCGTTTGCTGCTGCTGCCTTTGCTTCTGCTGCTGCTGCTGCTGCTGCTCCTGCTGCTGCGGCCTCCTCGCTCTCTTCCGCTGCAGCAGCAGCTGCTGCTGCAGCAAGCTGCGCATCTACCGAAGACCTGCAGCAGCGGCAGCAGGTGACAGTAGCAGCAGCACCCAAGTCTGGCAGTGTAGATACAGTGCTACCCAGGAAACATGCCGTTGCTGCTGCTGCTGCTGCCGCTGCTGCAGGTCTTCGGTAGATGCGCAGCTTGCTGCAGCAGCAGCTGCTGCTGCTGCTGCTGCTGCTGCTGCTGCTGACCTGATGGCTTCTTCTACCAGGGGCTTTAGTGAGGCCCAGTCTGCTTCTGCTGTCTTCACAACGGAGACAAAGCCAGCCCCAATCAACACAGAGGAGACGCCCTCCACCTGGCAGCAGCAGCAGCAGCAGCAGCAGCAACAGCAGCAGAAACTGTTCGCAGGCGCCCAGGAACAGCAGCGGCCGGTGCAGCAGCTGCAGCACAAAGCAGCAGCGTTCGCTGCAACACCTGCTGCAAAAACAGTAGCAGCCCGGTTTATCAGCAGCAGCAAGAGCAGCAACGGCAGCAGCAGCAGCAGCAGCAGCAGCACCTGCAGCAGTGCTTGAGCCATGGGAGAATCTGAAGTGTCTGCTCATCACACACAAGCCACATATGCTGTTTTGTATTTCTGCTTCTTCTCTTTTTCTTTTTTGGCTTTTTCTGCTGCTGCTTCTGCTGCTGATGCTGCTGCAGCTGCTGCTCTACGCCTCCCAGTCTAGCTGCGGCGCCTCTGCCAACAGCAGCAGCTGCTGCTGCAGCGGCAGGTCCGGCAGCAGCACTAGCCACAGCCCAAACTGGAGGGGCTACTGTGACAGCAGCAGCACTGGCAGCCACAGCGTCTGCTGTAGCAGCAGCAGCACCAGCAAAGACAGCCACGGCAGCAGCAGCAGCAGCAAGACAACAGCTGCAGCAACGCAGAAGCGACAGCAGCAAAACGACAGCGGCAGCAACTAAACAGCACCAGCGGCAACAAAACAGCATCAGCAACTAAACAGCAGTAGCGGCAGCAAAACTGCAGCAGTACTCGAAAGACGGCAGTAGCAGCAGCAGCAGCAGCAGCAGCAGGTGTCCTCACTGCTGCTGCCTCTATAGAACTGCGTCGAAGTGACTTTCCCCTTTTTGTTCACCAGAGGCCGCGAGAGAAGAGGCCTGAACTTCAGGGCGTTAGGGTTTGGGGTTTCTTCTGCGGGTATTGAGTCTGCTGCAGAGCTGAGGCAGCGCACACCTGCTGCTGCTGCTGCTGCTGCTGCTGCTGGTTGCGGAGCTGCTGCAGGGGTGAAGGAAGGCAGAGCGGCTCGCATGCAGCCGAGTGACGAAGGTGGGGGATAGGCGCCTCGGCTTAGTGCTGCTGCTGCTGCTGCTGCTGTTCTGGCCAAGGGGCTGCGGCCTGCAGCAACAGCTGCTGCTGTGGCTGTCGCCACAGTTGAAGCTGTTCGCCTCAAAAGAAGCCCTTGCATCTTCCTGTCAAGTGCAGCAGCAGTAACAGCTGTGGGAAGCGGTTCCACTTGCTGCCGCAGCTGCTGCTGCTGCTGCTAGAGTGTCTCAGGAGTTGCACTGAATCGGCAGGTGTGTATGCAGCAAATACTTTCGCCACCTAAGAATGCGAAAGAAATTAAAATAAATTTGATAAACAAGTGCATGCAGTTTGGGTCCTCGCATACATCGTCGATTGCTCGCGCAGCAGCAGCAGCGCAGCCGCCGCTGCTGCTGCTGCTCTGCTGCAGCCAAAGGTCACCTCCGGGCTTGCTGCTGCTGCAGCTGCTGAAGCTGCAGCTGCTCCTCCTACTGCTAAACTACAGGAAATTAGAGCATTGGAAAGTACAAAACGATTATCTATTTTTTCATCTAAATGGAAGAAGCTGACGAGTTTTGCTGCTGCTGTTACTCCTGTGCTGCAGTCTGTTGCTGCTGCTCTCGCGCAGCTGCTCTATAAAGCAGTTTCTGCTGCTGCTATAGCAGCTGCAGTGCTGCCTTCTGAGCTGTTTGCTGCTTCTTCTTAGCCGCGTGCATGTAGACTTAGCCACGGACCTGCTGCTGCTGCTGCCGTCTTCGCTGCTGGTATCCCTGCTGCTCAGTTTTACCTGTAGAGTAGCTGCTCCTTTCAGATCTGCTGCTGCTGCCGCTGCTGCTGCTGGCTCAGCCTGTTCTGCTGCAGAGCTGCTCAGTAACTGAAGCCAAGGGGGAGAGCCCCCGGCCACACTGGTGCCCAGAAGTCGCTTTGAGAGCAGTAGCAGCAGCAGCAGCAGCAGTAGTAGTAGCAGTGCCAGCAGCAGCTTCAGTAGAGGCAGCAGCTCAAGCTACTGCAGAGAAGAGTGCAGTAGTGGGTGGCGGGAACGGAGGCGCAAGCTGGTTGGCGCTGCTGCTGCTGCCGCTGCTGCTGCTGCTGTTGCTGCAGCTGCTGTTACTGCCGTTGTCTTAGCCTTTGGTGTTGCTGCTGCGGCTGCTGCTTCCTATTCGTAAATGCAGCAGCAAATGCAGCAGCAGCCCCCTGCTGCTGCTTCCAGCTGGGGAGGCCTCTTTTCCTTATGCAGCGGCTTCACCAGAGAAGTGGAGCGTCGCCGACGCCGCAGCAGCAACAGCAGCAGCAGCAGCTACAGCGGCTGCAGCAACTGCTGCAACTCCGTGCGATGTATTCCTCTCCCCTCTTTCTCGTTTGAAGAGAGCGAAGGGGACCCTGAGGGTAAAGCAACAATCGTGATTCGGCAATGGCAGCGCACTGCTGCCGCTGCTGCTGCTGCTGCTGCTGAGAGCAAGCACCCGTTTGTTGATGCTAGAGACTGGGCTGATGGGTCAGAGGCTTCTGCTGCTGCGCCTCGACCCCTTGTGCTTGACGACCCGCTGCAGCCGGTGGCAGCAGCAGCAGCAGCAGCGCTGCGGTTTCTTGTAAGGCTCCTTGGGGGTGATCCCGACAGCAGCAGCAGCAGCAACAGTAGCGGTGGCAGCAGCAGCAGCTGGAGCTCTTATCTCTCCCCAGCCGGTTGCATCGGCATGCTGCTGGAGGCTTCCTCAACAGAAGCAGCTACGCTTGATCAGCAGCAGCAGCAGCAGCAGCAGTGGCGGCAGCCATGGCAGCTGCAGCGGCGGCCGTCGCAAGGGCAGCAAGGAAAGCGGGCTGAGGAGCAGCTGCAGCAGCAGCTGCAGCAGCAGCTGCAACACGAACAGCTGCTGCAGCAGCAGCTGCAGTACAGCACGCTCTCATCTATCCCCGAGCCGTGGGACTCAGACCTCTCGCTGAGAGGCGTCCTTCCTGCTGCTGCTACTATTCCTGCTGCTGCTGCAGCGGGTGCTGCGCCGCCTTATACGGCGAACGCAGCAGCCTCAGCAGCAGAAGCCTCAGCTGGGGGAGCACCACCACAGGCACAAGCAGCTACAAAAGCAGCAGCAGCAGCAGCAGCAGCAGCAGCAGGAGCAGATGTAGACTGGGAGCTGCTGCTGCGGCGGGCTGCTTCTCGCATTGGTAGCTCACATGAAGTGGACAGCGAGGTATGCCTTGCTGCTGCTGCTGCTGTTATTGCTGCTGCTACTACTGCCGTTGCTGCTGCTGCTGGCCAGTTCGCTGCTAGCCTCGCTGCAGCTGGCCGGCTGCTCAGCCTCTGCAGCAGCAGCACGAAGCAAAATGCTGCACTCAGGCGTGGTTACCTATCCCCATAGTGTATCAAATGCCGCAACACTGCACCACTTCTTGCTGTTGCTGCTGTTGCTGTTGCTGCCTCTCTGCTGCTGCTGCTGCTGCTGCTGATTCCAGGCGAGAGAAGAGCACGATCTGCTGGAGAAAGCAGTCGATGGTTTTTCAAAAGCGGCCAAGGTCGGCAACCGATGTGTTGCTGCTGCTGCTGCTGCTGCTGCTTGATGCGTCTGTGCCGCTGCAGTTCTTGTTGCTGCAGCGGCGGTTGTTGCTGCTTTTGTTGCTGCTACTACTTCGAGCACTGCTACTGGCCCTTCAACAGATAGTCTGTTCTTTTAAATACTTTTGCAAAACTGTAGGGCCACCGCTGAAGCAGCAGCAGGAAATGCTGCACCTGCAGCAGCAACAGCAGCAGCTGCTGCAGCAGCAGCCGCTGCAGCAGCATTAGCTGCTGCTGCCGCTGTTGCTACTGATTCACCATATGTGGGTAGATGTACAGGGGCCCGCTGCTGCCTTTCCCGCTCATCTGCTGCACTTGAAAAAGGACCTGGAGGTGCCCATTCTTTTTTCCTTCGACGCAAATCTCACGGTGCAGCCACAACTACTCCTGCTGCTGTTGCTGCTGCTGCTGCTGCTGCCGCTGCTGCCGTTGCTGCTGCTGCTGTAGCCTTGGTGCTTGCTGCTACAGTTTTGCGCTTTAAGGTATAGGGAATGCTGGCTCGATTTTATTACTGAATGCTACCGTTACGTCACCACGGTGCGGTCTGTTGCTGCTGCTGCTGCTGCTGTTGCTGTTGATGTTGCTGTTGCTGCTGCTGCTGCTGTTTTGTTCCACCAGACCCTCAACTTCCTGGTCCTGTCTTCCACTGGAGAGCAACTTGCGAAGCTGCATCTCCCGCTGCGGCAAGTCAGCTCATGCACAGTGCAGCACTATCGTTTCCGTTGCTGCTGCTGCTGTTGCTGCTGCTGCTATTGCTGCTGCTGCTGTTGCTGCTGCTGCTGCCGCTGTTGCAGCAGCTGCTGCTGTTGGTGTTCTTTAGTTGTCAATTATAGAGCGAATTCGAAGCGGAGATTTACCTAACACTTTAGTCTTTCTTTGAACAGCAGCAGCAGCAGCAGCAGCAATGCAAAAACTGCCGCTGCTCAGACGCAAACTGCAGCAGCAGCAGCAACTGCAACAGCAGCAAATTTTGTGAGGCGAGTTTTCTCCCTTGCTTTCTTTGCAGATAGAGAAGGTGCTGCTGCCGGAAGAAACAGAGGCAAGCAGCACCAGACCTTCGTTTGCACTATTGTTGCTGTTGTTGCTGCTGCTGCTGCTGCTACGTTGGCGACAGCGCGAGCCAACCAAGATACATTGGAAGACAGATGAAGCAAAATAGATAAAGGCATTAGCTACTGTTGCTGCACCCTTTACAGCTAGTATTTCTGCCGCTGCTGCTGTTGCAGCTGCTATTGCTGCTGTTCCCGTTGCTGCTGCTGTTGCTGCTGTTCCTTTGCAGGATCCATCGGTGTGGGCACATCTAAATTGTTTGAGCATTGCAAGAGACTGCGCCGTTGTACTGAAGGCAAGATATCCATTTGCTGCCGCTGCTGCTGCTGCTGCTGCATAAAAGCGTGCGCTGCTGCATGCTGCTCTTCTGGCAGCATCCACAAAGTACTGCTGCTTCTGCTGCTGCACAGCAGTAAACCGCCTTTACATTCATTCAGTCAGGCGTGTTTCTGTCGCTGCATGCGCTGCTGCTGCTGCTTGTGCTGCTGCTGCTGCTGCTGCTTTTGCCGCTGCTGCTGCTTCAGGTGAATGGCGATGATCTGCTGCAGATGAAGCTCTCTGGAAGCCTCCCCAATTCTTTCTCTTTCTTCGATTTTGCCCACAGCCATTTGCTGCTGCTGCTGCCGACGCAGCAGCAGCGAACCCTCGTGTACGCTTCTCTGCGGCTGTTGTGCTATCAGCAGCAGCAACAGCACTTCGCCACCTCAGAACCCGCAGCAGCAGCAGCAGCGGCTGCTGCTGCTGCTGCACCCGACTCTGATGCACTCTTCACACCTCTCGATTCCACTGCAAATATCTCCAGACGGCTGCTGCAGGACTAAAGCTGCAGCAGCAAGGCCAGCCATGCACACGGCAGCAGCTAGCAGCAGCAGCGAGCCGCAGCAACTAGTTTCTGCTGCCTCCGCCATGGCCACTAGAGCAGCAGCAGCAGCAGCAGCTTAGCTAGCTGTAACTGTGTGTAGCTAGCTGAGTCTGTTGATGGCTGGCCGTGGGTGGCTAGCTGTGACTGTGGGCGGCTAGCTGTGGCTAGCTAGCTGTGGCTAGC